CTATGAAGTGATGGGACTGGATTCCATGATCTTAGTTTTTTGAGTGTTGAGTTTTAAGCTGACTTTATCACTCTCCTCTTTCACCCTCATCAAGAGGTTCTTCAGCTCCTCTTCACTTTCAACCATGAGAGTGGTATCATCAAATGAGGAGAAGTCATTTATGCTCTTATAGTCCTAAAAGTTCTGAATTGGGAAGTACCTAGTTTCAAAAAGCATGAAGGGACACAAAGGCTGATAAAAGTAGCTTTCCCAGCCACGAGTCTTTGATAACTCCTTTTATCAGGTAACTTTGATTCTCTAATAGGATGAGAGAGGTTTACTGTCTAGAGAAATGGAATGTAAGAGGTCCTACACTCAGGACGCTTGGCTGAGACAGGGGAAAAGAGTGAGGTCACAACATAGAGGAAAGATTAGGGAAGAATTCACTTCTTGAATTCAGAGATCCTTAGTTCCTTTCTCCATCTTGCTTGCTGAAATTCAGCTGCCAGTGAAAAACTCCAGAGTGAGCACTCTGCAGAAAAGACTTCCAAGTTTTGCCATCTAGACAGAAAATCATCTTAACATGTCTCACAGAGTGAAAGAAATAAAAACATCCTTCCCAAGACACAAGGTCACGAAATTTCAGAACACCAGGATGAAAGAGAAAATCACAAAAACTTTCAGAGAGATGTAGCAGATCATAGATAAAAGATTAGAGTTCACAACAGCATCAGAATTCAAGAGTAACTATCAAACTGGGTATTAAATTTTAAAGGGTATTTTCAGTCTAGAATGTTTGTGACAGTTTTTTTCCACTCTTTCCCCTTTCTCATGCAGATGCCTGAAATCATATCGAGGAAGTCATGGGCTCCAGGGATTTGAAAAGCTCATGAAGGAGAGTGAAAGTGTCAGGGCTATTGCTAGATAGCAAGCCTGGAAAATATCCACAGCTAAATGGATTAGGTGGATAAAGCAGGGGTGAGGAGAGACACCAAGAACAAAAGAGAGGTGATGGAGTATCTGTCACTTCCGAATAAGTAAATTTTTATTAGGAGTTTGAAACGTCTGCCTCAGTGTTAGGAAATAATCCTAGATCAAGATACAGAGTTGTTTGAATTGAACAAAAATAATAAGGTTAGGTCCAAGAAAGTACCAAAAAGGAACATAATCATAATTTTCTTACCAGGAAGCAATGTTTATTTAGTCAGAATGCTGTTAGAGTGAATAGTCTAACAGCCAAAAATTGTGGGGTAAATATATTTGGGAAATGGACTAAGGGGATGTGTGTGTGTGTGTGTGTGTGTGTGTTGTGAGTGTGTGTGTGTGTGTGTGTGTGTGTGAGTGTGTATGTGATTTTGTATGAGTGGGGGGTGGAGATGTAAATTCTCAACTCTCATGCCAGGACATCAGATTATTGTTTTAAAATTTGCAAGTTAAAAATAGAAACAAAGAGTCATTATTTAGAAATAAGATATGAATTTCAGAAGAAAATGCTCATAGTGGTGGCATTTGGCAATAGGAGGATAAAGTGAATACCATCGCAAATTGTTCATGCAAAATACACAAAATAAAACACTTATAAGTTAAATTTTAGCCTATATTATTTTGATGTAAAATTAATATTTTATTCTTGTTTCTTTTTTCAAGGACAATATTTTTTAATAATTAACTTTAATTGGAGACATTACTTTACAATATTGTGGTGGTTTTTGCCATACTTTGACATGAATCAGCCACGGGTGTACATGTATCTCCCATTGCCAACCCGCCTCCCACCTCCCTCCCCATCCCATCCCTCTCAGTTGTCCCACTGCACCTGCTTTGAGTGCCCTGTTTCTTTGAACTGGTGATCTATTTCACATATGATAATATACATGTTTCAATGCTATTCTCTCAAATCATCCCACCCTCACCTTCTCCCACAGAGTCCGAAAGTCTGTTCTTTATATCTGTATCTCTTTTGCTGTCTTGCATATAGGGTCGTCATTAACCATCTTTCTAAATTGCATATATATGCGTTAATATACTGTATTGGTGTTTTTCTTTCTGACTTACTTCACTCCGTATAATAGGCTCCAGTTTCATCCACCTCATTAGAACTGATTCAAATGTGTTCTTTTTAATAGCTGAGTAATATTCCATTGTGGATATGTACCACAACTTTCTTATCCATTCATCTGCCAATGTAATTTCTTGACTGTATATTCTCTTTATATTTGAAACATTTCATCATTTCTCTTTGTTTTATCATGCATGCTAATATAGAGATATGTATAGCTGTATCTTAAGCCAGGCTTGTAAGAGACTTACATGTGTCTGTACTACGGCCATTATCTCTCTATGTTTAGGTTCCTTTCTGGTCTTGTAGTTTATGTGTATAACAATGTTGAAAGTTAAAGAAAGTGTTAATCACTCAGTCATGTCTCTTTGCGACCCCATGGGCTGGAGCCCACCATGCTCCTCTGTCCATAGGATTTTCCAGGAAGGAATGCTAGAGTGAATAGCCATTTCCTGCTCCAGGGCATCTTTCCAAACCAGGGATAGAACCCAGGTCTCCAACATCACAGACAGATTCTTTACCATCTGAACCACTAGGGAAGCCCATAATGCTATTGGGACACCTTCATAATGCCTCATGTATCCCTGAATTGGTATGGAATATGGTGTGCATTTTCCTCTTTCTCCATCCTTCTTACTTATCTCTTATCAGCTAAGGTCCAGGAAGAGATTGACCGTGTTATTGGCAGACACCAGAGCCCCTGCATGCAGGACAGGAGCCACATGCCCTACACGGACGCTGTGATCCACGAGATCCAGCGATACGCTGATATGCTCCCCACCAGTCTTCCCCATGCAGTGACCCGTGACATTAAATTCAGAAACTATCTCATCCCCAAGGTAAGACTGGTTTCTCTTATACTGACCTCATTGGTTTCATAGTTCCTATTTACAGAGTATGGCCACAACCCTCGATGAACACAAGGTGAGAGAAGTAAAAATAGTCTTGTGTGTGGTGGCTTGATGGGTTGTGTGTTGTTTCCAGCTTAATCTGTAAAGGTTTGTAACAGATTTTGACAGGTAGCAGTGCAAGACTTCCACATTTTTTGTTTCTCTTATATTGTTTGTCTAACCATAGCTGTCCACATTTCCAACTGAATGTTAGTAGCAATTTGTCAATTTACCAAAATACTCTGCAGGGATTTTCTTTTAGAATGGTGACATTTTAGATCAATTTAGAAAGACTGAATATCATGATATGAATGATACAGTCTCCCTGTTTGAAAGGACTTTCTGTAATGTCTTTCAATAATTTATTCCAGGCATTGGCTTGAATATTTTTGGGATAATTTTCCCAAGGTGGTTATTGTAGTTACAAATTTTTTAAATGCCTTTTCCATTTTTTGTATATGATATCAAAATATAATTGATTTTATAATTTTTATGACCTTATATATAGCAAACTTGCTAAATTTAAAATCATTTCTGAAAATTTCTTTCTAGTTAATTGCAATTTCTGTATATATTATCCTGCTACCTGGGTTAATATCTTTGTATCATCCTTTATTTATTTCTGATCTGAAGGAGAGTTAAGATTAACATCTCACTATTGGGAATGATGTTCTATGTATATTTTGTTAGATTTTTTAAAATCAAATTAAGAAAGTTTGCCTGGTAGTTTAGTGGTAAAATAATCTTCTTACCAGTACAGGAGATGCACGAGACACCAGTTCAATCCCTGGGTCAGAAAGAGCCGCTGGAGAAGGAAATGGCAACCCACTCTAGTATTCTTGCCTGGAAAACCCTGCCAGAGGAGCCTGGCGGGCTACAGTCCATGGGCACAAAAAGTGTTGGACATGACTGAGCAGGAACACGGACAGCATATATTTGGTAGACCATACCAGGTTGTTTTAGTTAATGCAGAATTCAGGTTAAATCATTGATAAGCCAGAATGATTTCACTATATTGCATTATGTGAAAATTTCTTCCATTAATAACCACTTATTTATTCAACTATCCATCAAAACCTCCTTACTTCAGTATGCATACCCCAATAACAGTGATCATTGTATACAGAAGAATAATAGCATGTCTACCCAGGGGTTATCACTGAAACAATGGTATTATCTAATCCACCGTCTATACTTAAAATATCTCAATTTCCTTAAAATAACCTTTCTAGTCTATTTTTTTCCTTCATAAATAAGGTGAGGGTTCATGCTGTCACTTATTCCATTATTATTGGTTACGTAGTCCTGTTCACATGATAAAGTGGTATTTGCCAGATTGCTCCAGAGCAGAGGTCCTTTTCTTACATTTAATACACCAAAGTCTATTGCATGGTCCATTAGGGCTTTGAGAGTATAGTGTTTCTTAATCATTGATCCAACAGTTTTAGCTTTGCGAGCAAAACTTGTTTAAATTGATGATACTAACCTAATTGATATGAAATGATTTTTCTAGTTTATCATTCTTCCTGTGTTTCAAATCTAGGATTAATCTGTGATGACATCTACTGTATTTTTGTTTCTTAAATAATTTTATTTATTTATTCATTTGTTTTTGGTTGTGCTGGGTCTTTGTTGCTACATGCAGGCTTTTCTCTAGTTGTGGCGAGTGGGGGTTAATCTTCGTTGCAGTGAATGGGCTTTCCATTTTGCATGACTTCTCTTGTTGTGGAGCATGTGCTCTAGGGCACAAGGGCTTCACCAGCTGTGGTGATTTGGCTCAATAGTTGCGGTTCCCAGGTTCTAGTGCACAGGTTCAGTGCCTTGGTGCCTTGAACTTATCTGCTCCACAACATGTGGGATCTTCTTGGACAGGGATCAAAACTATGTCTCCTGCATTGGCAAGTGGATTCTTTACCAATGAGCTACCAGGGAAGCCTTACCATATATTTTAGAATAAAGACAGACTATCTGCATGGCAATGGTAAACACTAATATTTGTTACCATACTTATTATCACAGAAAATCATATTTTCATTTATAAAAACACTGTGAACAGCTAACACCAGAACTTTATAGTTCAATAGACACTTACATTTAAAACCATAATCCAAATATGAGATGAGTGAAAACTGAAATGAGAAAGCACCTGGTGGGAACAGACACTAGTATTCAAATATAATGATTAGCGGATTGGATTCATAAGGTCTGACACCATAGGACCTAGATACTGAGGTTTTCAGATGCTGTTGAAGTTCACTTCAGCAGTATCACTGCCACTAGTCTTAAACTTATCCTTGTTTATTACTTTTTCTGTCTGCCTCAAAATATGACTGCCCTTCTTTGGACTGACGATCCCTTATTATTGATCCTTGGAATGGACTAAGCAATTTGCAGCATTCCTTCTAGCTTCGTGACTTCTCCATAGTTTAGCTTATCTTCATCTGTTCTTTCCAGGGCACAGATATATTAACATCACTGACTTCTGTGCTTCGTGATGACAAAGAATTCCCCAATCCTGGGGTATTTGATCCTGGCCACTTCCTGGATGAGAGTGGCAACTTTAGGAAGAGTGACTATTTCATGGCTTTCTCTACAGGTAATAATTTTTTTCCCTCAGTCCTTTAGAGGACAAGATACCTTCTCAGGATCAGTTGGGAGTTACATAGTAATCCTATGGGGCTGGTAGAAATGCTTTCTCCATAATGAGGGGCAGCAATCCCAATGCCCATGCACTTTCCCTCCACATGAGACATTGTCATTATTGGGCTAGATTACTGGAGCTTTGGTGAAGTGACTCAGTTATTTCAAATTTAGAAAGAAAACTTGAACTGGGAACTGCAAATGTAAGAGAACCATATCTTAGCCAAAAAGAACCGTGTGTTATAAAACCTCAGGGTGTGTTGGAGGTTGATGAAGAGTAGGTATACTTAGAGCAGAGAACAGAGGCTGTGTGGAATGAAAAGAAACAGGTGGGACTACTAGACTAGGATCAGGAAATATAGCCAGTATATGTGACTTTCTAGAAAAAGATGGATAGAAACCTGAAAATATGAAACTGTGGTTATAATATGTGAATAATTTAATGAGATGTTTGGAATAGTCAGTAAATATTTGTTGAAAGATTAATATTTGCTATGGGAAGATGTCAGGTGGCTAGCATATGTGTCCACCCTTTGTCCATCAGTTGCCCTAGTCATCCTGCTTTCCATCCATCCATTCAAACATTCATCAAATGGCTACTATATAATCTCTTTCTAACAGCCATAAAGACAGACTTCAAGGAATATGTATTCTCTGTGTTTGTTATTATCAGGAAAACGTGTTTGTTTGGGAGAGGGCCTGGCCCGCATGGAGCTGTTTTTATTCCTGACCACAATTTTACAAAAATTTACCTTGAAACCTGTGGTTGACCCAAAGGACCTCGAAACCACCCCAGTTGTCAATGGGTTAGTTTCTGTGCCACCATTTTACCAGCTCTGTTTCATTCCTGTGTGAGGAATGTTAGATCATCTGGCTTCTTCACTGATGTCTTCAACTCCCTCTCATCTGGAGCATCGTTCACCTGCTTCCCCTCATCGTTCCTGAGAGCGATTGCTCTGACCTCTCTTCATTCATTGTGCAATTTCAATGCAGAAATGTATCTGCCATCCTTCATACTCTGTAACATCTGTATTGGCTACCAGATAATGCACATAATTATCTGATGTTGAATAGTTCTGCATTCATAGGACTATCTACCCCATCAAAATAAAATAAGATGATTACTCTCTGTACAATGCAGAGCTATTTCTGCTATGCCTGTTCCTAATAAAACACATACCTTGGTAAGCCAGTATGAAGCTTTCCTTCTTTTGTGCATATTGCAGATAAGGGAGGAAAGAAAAAAGAGGCAAAGATGTCACATGGTCCTCATATGCACAGAGAAGGGAATGAGAGTAGAAAAGCTCCCTTGGCTGCATGTTACCATGAGTTACTTGAGGTTTGGACTTGAAAGTGAAAGAAATTGTTTTCTAGAGTATCTTCATCCTGTAGGAATTATGGAGATCACTGAGTGTTGTTTAGTTGCCCAGTACTGTCTGACCCTTTGATGAAAGTCCATGGACTGTGGCCCAGGTACCTCTGTCCATGAGATATCTCAGCCAGGAATACTGGAGTGAGTTTCCATTTCCTTCTCCAGGGGTTCTTCCCCACCCAGGGATTGAACCCAGGTATCCTACTTTGGCAGGCAGATTCTTTACTGCTATGCCACAAGGGAAGCTCAAAGTCAAAGTAAACCAGGAAAACTACAATTGAAAATCAGAATAGAAATCAATGAGATTGTATAAAGGAAATCACTAGATAGAATCAAAGAAACCAATGCTAGTTCTTTGAAAATTTGAATAGAATTGATATATTTGTAGCTAGGTTACCCTCAAAAACANTATAGGAAATCTTAAAACTCGATAGTAAAAGTTAGAAAACCTATTAACCCAATTTAAATATGGGCAAAGGGCTAGAAGGGCCATACCTCTAAAAAAAAAACAAGAATGGCAAGCAGGTGTATGAAAAAGTGCTCAACGTGAGTAATCTTCAGAGAATGCAAATCAAAACCACAATGAGATAGCTCCTTACATCTGTTAGGCTGAATATTATAAGAAAGAAAAAAGTGTTGGCAAGGATATGAAGAAATTGAAATCCTTGTATACTGTTGGTAAAAAGACAAAATGGTGGAGCTTATAAGTGAAACAGAAGAGAGGTAAACCAAAAAACTAAAAATAGAATTACCACATGACCTAGCAATCCCATTTTGGACTATTTAATAAAAGAAGTGAAATCATGATGCTAAGGAGATATTACACACCCATCTTCAAGTTAGCATTATTCACTCTAGACAAATGTGGAAAATCCTCAATGTCCATCCGTGGATGGATGGGAGAAATGTGGCATTTAACACATGAATGTGTATGCAAAGCTGAAACAGACTCGCAGACATATTAAACAAACTAGTAGTTTTCAAAGGGGATAGGGAAGTGGGCATGGATAAATTGTTGGTTGGGTTTAAGAGATATAAACTAGTATGAATAAAATATGTAAGCAACAAGAATATATTGTGTGGGCTTTCTGGTGGCTCAGCGGTAAAAAGCTGACTGCAATGCAGGAGAAATGGGTTGGATGCTCAGGTGGGAACTATCTGCTTGAGAAGGAAATGGCAACTCACTCCTGTATTCTTGCCTGAAAAATAACATGAGCAGAAGAGCCTGGCGAGCTACAGTCTCAAGGCTGTAGCCTTGGACGTGACTTAGCAACTAAGCAACAACCATAATAGAATATATGACACAAGGGCTTAAACTTAAGTAAACACTGGACTTTGGCTGATATTGCTGTGTCAGAGTTGGTTCATTGAAACAAATGCACCACACTGGTGAGGGTTATTGATAGGAAAGTCTTTGTGGGTTTAGGATGAGCTATGTGGGAATTGAATACATGTTGCCCAGTTTTGTGTGAACCTAGAACTTCTTCAAAAATAACTTATTATTTAAAAGAAAAATATACAAAAATAGTTGTAGAATAGTTCCATTCTACAACTCTTGCCAAGACAAGGTGCATTCCTCTCTGGTTGTGGAGACTTTAATGCTGATGCCCTCCTGGTCATTTGGATATCAATGGGAATTCCATTAGATGTGTGATATTGCTAAACAGAGTAAAAAATGCTGAACTCTCAGATAAAGTCTTGTACTGATGAATTGGTGATAGTTAAACTCACTAAGACATATATTGTTCACTTGAAAAAATAAAGGTCAGATTGGCTGATCTAAGATTTCCAGTTATTAGTCATTCTTTCATTCCATATAAAGAAGAGCCTTTCAGAAATCTTAGCAGGAAGAAGGAGGTATAGAGCAAGACACTCCTAAATCAAGGAATAAAATAGTTGCTAAAGGAGCATTACTGAGCTTATTTTTTTTTTTTTCAGAATAAACTGCTGTGGTTCTATTAGTGTGAGAGGCAAATGAGCTGCTCGTTGTTCAGTTGCTAAGTCTTGTTTAGCTAATTGCGATCCTATGGACTGCAGGATGCCAGGCTTTGCTGTCCTTCACTATCTCCTGGAGTTTGAGCAAACTCATGTCCGTTGAGTCAATGATACTATCCAAGAACCTCATCCTCTGTTGCCCACTTCTCCCCCTGACCTCAAGCTTTCCCAGAATCAGGGTTTTTTCCAATGAGTTGGCTCTTCGCATCTGGTGGCCAAGGTATTAGAGCTTCAGCTTCAGCATCAGTCCTTCCAAAGATTATTCAGGGTTGATTTCTTTGGCGTTGACTGGTTTGATCTCCTTGCAGTCCAAGGGATTCTTCTCCAGCATCACAGTTTGAAAGCATCAATTCTTTGGTGCTCAGACTTCTTTATGGTCCAACTCTCAAATCCATACATGACTATGGGAAAAACCATAGCTTTGACTAGACAGACCTTTTAAGAGAAGTGATGTCTCTGCTTTTTTAATATGCTGCCTAGGTTTGTCATAGCTTTCCTTCCAAGGAGCAAGCATCTTTTAATTTTATGACTGGAGTCACCATCCACATTGACTTTGGAGCCCAAGAAAAGATTATCTGCCACTGTTTCCACTTTCCCCCCTTCTATTTGCCATGAAGTGATGGGAACTGTGGTGTTGGAGAGGACTCTTGAGAATCCAACCAGTCCATCCTAAAGGAGATCAGTCCTGGGTGTTCACTGGAGAGACTGATGCTGAAAAATTGATGCTTTCACACTGTAGGGCTAGAGAAGACTTGAGAATCCCTTGGACAACAAAGAAGTCACACCTGTCAATCCTAAAGGAAATCAACCCTGAATATGCAGGGGAAGGACTGATGCTGAAGCTGAAACTCCAATACTTTGGCCACCTGATGTGAAGAGCTGACTCATTGGGAAAGACCCTGATACTATGAAAGACTGAGTGCAAAATGAGAAGGTGGCAGCAGAAGAAGAGATGGTTAGATAGTATCACCGACTCAATGGTCATAAATTTGAGCAACTCCAGGAGACCATGAATGACTGGCATGCTGCAGTTCATGGGGTCAAAAGAGTCGGACAACACTGCACAGCTGAACAACAACAATTAGAGATTTATCCATGAGTGAAATGCTTCAGTGGAAGCAGTGGGGCCACCTGTGCACCTGAAAATGGACAGACAGGTCTCAGTAAGGGCTGGAGATGCAAAGGGGTTGGTGAAATTGCCCCATTACCTCTTCCTGCCATCAGGGTAAAAACATGGATAGTGCTGACCTTGACAGATATCCACACATGAGAGGGAATTTCTAGCAGTCTAGCATGTCTGATGGACAATTCCAGTGCAGCATCAGAGCAAGAAGGATATGAGTTGAGATGCAGTGGAGAGAGAAGAACTCCACCATAGACCCCCTCCCCTCACCCCACTACCAGGGACTGAGCTGTGTGCTGGCAGCATCCTCTCCTGTGGAGGAGATGGAAAGTAGTGAGTGAGGGCCTGGCCACCTTAGTTGTCTGGGTTGCAGCTGGAGAAACTCATTTCTTTCCAGCAGCAACCAGGGTACTACAGCAGGACCCCCATGACCGGGCCAGAGAGGAGAAAAGTGAATGAAGAAGATAAGAATTTCAGAGGACATTAGGGGTAGATGCCATCCTGCTGACTCTCTTTATGACTCCAGCAGGGAGTCTGTTCACAAGCCTCTGCTATTTACTGGAAAGCAAAAAAGAAGTTTCCAGCAGCAAGTCTGGTTAGTTTTAAGAAGAGAAAACTCAAAAGATTAAGAATTCTGCTGTAAGAGTGAGCAAGAAAGAGTGTGTGTTTTTCAGTACAAAACCTAAGNATCCATAGGTCACAAAGACTTGTACACGACTGAAGTGACTTAGCATGCAAAGCATTTCATTCTTATTGTTTCTTTTAAATTGTTATTTATTAAAAACCATTTCTTCTTAAACTTAGTAATGTCATTCCTGCTTTATTTGGCTATTCATTGATGGCAAAATCTCTTTCCCTCTTTCTCATTCAGCATATTTGTCTCTTTGTGTTTCAAAAAGTGAGTTTTGTATTGACAAAATGTAGTTATTTTAAACTGAGTGTGATTGACATGACTTTAATTTTGGGTGTACAACATAATGACTCAGTAAAAGGGGATATTGCAAAATGATTACCACAATAAATATAGTTAACATCCATTGCAACATGTAGTTTAAATTTTTTCGTGTCATGGAACTCTTAGGATTTACTTTCCTAGCAACTTTCAAATATATAATACAGTATTATTTACAGTCATCATGTAGTATAGTGTATCTGCAACACTTATTTTATAACTGAAAATTTATACATTTTGATTCCCTTCATTCTTCTTGACCACCCCTAATGTCTGGCAGGCACTGATATCAAATACCAAATTTGTATTTATGAGATCAGATTTTAAAGTATTTCACATACAAGATCGATCATATGGTATTTGTCTTTCTGTGTCTGATTTATTTCACTTAGCACAATAACTTCAAGGCCCATCCATGTTGTCACAAGTGTCAGGATTTCCTTCTTTATTTTACAGCATATTATATTCTATATATGTATGGATTGTGTATTATGGATATGTAATGGAACATTTATGTATATAATTTTAAAATGTATTCTTTTGGGCATTCCTTGGTAGCCTGATTGTTAGGTTCCTGGTTTTCACTGCCATGGCCTGGGTTCAGTGCCTGAGATCCTACAAGCGAAGTGGCCAAAATATAAATATGCATATATTCTTATATGTTTAAAATTGTGAGTTTCAATCAATTAAAGTGATTATTAATATTAAAGGACTTATTCCTGCTGTTAGTTTTTGTTCTCATGTATGTTTT